GCCCGAGCATATTTAAAAGCAAAAAAAAAAAGTAAAAGCAAAATAAAATCAAATAAAACTAAATAAAAGCAAACAATACTAAAAAAAATAAAACTATGCACCAACATGGCGGATGCTAGCCTTTGTTTAGCGTAGACGCTGCAGTGTGACATCACAGACAACCCTCCTTTCTGGGTCAAAAGGGGACGATGTTTGCTAGTATTTTTTTGGGATGCTTGATTAGCACGTGCTGGCCCTGACTATAGATTACTATATTCTCCTAGATAGACTGTAAAATCTTGTAGGTCTCAGTGGACTGGTGCTTTCCAGATTCAGAGCTTATCTGAGCTCTTGCCATCGCAAGGGTTCTTACTAGAAATGAAATGTGGAAATATCAGTCGCCTACTCATCTCACTACATGGGCTTCCGGAGAAATTTACCTTTGAATATAGAATATATTAACACTGAAGCCACTAAAAGATTTGCAGAAACCCTGATCTCATATGAACTCTTGTTTGTGACCCAAAATCTGTAGATTCATAGACAGTTATTTACAGGAGTTACACAAGTTGTTTTTTTTGTCATTATAGAGGTCAAGGACAAAGTTTCAGTATACCTTATATTGCTAAAGCTTTTCCCCAAAAGAGAAGCATTTCAGATTAGGTGAAAGTGGAAGTAGTAGTCAGTAATTACTAAGCAATTAAGGCAGTAGTAAGTAGAGGTTGTGAAGCATGTTGCACAGCTTGCTTATGGACACACATTATATCCAGCAAAATGTGATCAATACTCAATGAGTTTGAATAAACATGCTTTAATGCAAAAATACAGACACTATGTATCCCAATACACCACAGGAAACTGGCAACCAGTCTGGCCTGGAGCTGCTGACTTTATGAGAGGCTCTGGGAAGAAGGTGTGCAAGACGGTGACTCAAGTGCAAATGATTGCTGGGCCCTTGGGACGCGATCCAAGACACCCAAGACATAAGAACCGTAAGCACGGGATAAGAAGTCATAGCCAAACGGATTACAGGACTGAAACCCAAAACACGAAAAGACACTCGCAGGCAAGAGAGGAGCACAAAAACCTGCATTCCAAGAACAATAAAGCAGAGCCCTGAGCAAAGCTTGCTGTCCAACACACACCAAGTATGGACCTTCTGGTTTCAATTAAAGCCTGAGGAACCACTTCTATCACACCAGATGAAACAAGATGGTGATGTGGGGGCAAAATATGCCCCGTTTACATTTACAATGTCATCCTTGGAGAATAAAGGTACTGTACTGAAACAACATATGAGAATTTAATGTGAGCAAGTCCCTATTCCTACTTGTAGGTTTTGTTTAATTGTCATAAATGAACTATGAAAGTGGTTAGTTGTCATACCACGACACACAGTGCACAACAACAAAACCTGTCCTCTGCATTTTAACCCATACGTGACGTCGTGACATAGCAGGGGGCAGCTAATTCAGCGCCGGGGGAGCAGAGCTGGGGGGGGTTTTACCTTACTCATGCACCCCAGTGCTACTACTGTTGGTTGGAGATTCAAACCACAGTCTTTCGATTACCAAGTACGCTTCTCCAACCATTAGCTGTCATAAGTCAATTTCATTTACAATCTTACCTACAACTTGATTGTCAGTGTGAAAATAGTGCACATTTATTTTTAAAACATGACGGCACGCTGAAAGATTTTTAGATATTTTTTCACTCTCCTGCCTAAGGGCCGATTAGTTCTGAGCTCACCGATCACCTCCAGCGACTGAATGAGAGACATTACTATGTATTACATAACTACATTTGCAATTTTTTATTTCTACATTCAGAGAGACTTTTGTCCTTTGAGTATCACCATAACCATCAGTGAAGTGGTCAGAATTTAATTTCAGGTTTCCTTTTACTGACATATTGCATTTTCCAGCATTCAGGTATTCACTAAGGGCAATCTGCTGCATCAAATTGTATGTGGAAAATGTGCTACATTAAATCAAATTTGACTGATTGATTGACTGATACTGTATCACTGCTTTGCCGGTCTCAGCTGAGCAGTGAGGAAATTAAAAGCATTACTACGGTTTGCAGGTTTTTCCTATAATATCATTCTATTATTCAGTGGCTGGGAATACACACCATCAATAAATGTAGTCATTAGAACTATAAAAGATAATCATTCTCTTCATGGCATTGGGACTGAAATGACAGGCCTGGTACAAGATGGAATCTATAAAAAAAGACAATTCTCATCTCATTGCAAATTTTACAAAACACGATCATTCTCTGTCACATTTAATTCATGTGTATGCTCTCCAAGTATAATTACCTTTTTCATGTAGGTATATCCTGACCATACGAAATGGAAATGCTGTTGAATGATACATTTGTTTTTATCTTGCAGCTATTCAATACTCTGCTACTAGCCTGACCATTGTATGCATTGTGATTTTCATATATCATGTTACTAAGAAATGCAACTACAAAGGGCTAGGAGTCTGAGAAGGTTTCAGGTGTTTAAAAGTATTCTATAATACCTACAACCCAAAGGCTGATGTTGTCTGTGTCAATAAGAGGCACTTCCTGCATTTCTATCTTTTGCACCACAGAAATCTGCAAACATTTTTTGCAGAGTTTACTACCTGTTAATCAGGTGAAGGGTCACATTAAAATGACAAGTACTGTATATCTATTTGGAATTAGCCTTATTAAACTATATTCCCCAAACAACCTACTCAGCTGACACAAGTTATTAATGAATATCAAATTTATGCATCTTCTACTTACATAAGATAATGTATGAGATTTAATTGACAGCCAATCCCGTGTTTAATAATGATAAAATACTCCTTTTCCTGCTTTTATTTTTATTTTGAAATCTGCCTTTCATAACCACCTATCCAATACAAAATAATATAAATAGCAAAATGCATCAGCTGTTAAATTTCTCAAATACCCCTTCCTTGTTTTTCCTTGTATTAAAAGTTAAGGCGGTTTGATGAATGCCCAATCCTTTTCAGATGCCTTATATAGAGCTCCACTGCGATCTGGAGTCCATCTCGGGAGATAGGCTATATTGCATAATTTGAGGTGCACACTAGATGGGCTGTCCGTCCATTTCACAGCACTCACACCCATGTGCACTCACTAAGGGCAATTTTGAGCCACATATTCACCCAAACAGTGTGCCTTTAAAATTCGGCGAAACTGGGGCACCGATAGAAAACCCACGCAAACACGGTGGGAGTGCAGGAAAGCGGCGCCGGGACCAGATTCAAACCCAAAATCCTGACAGTCTGAGGTGACAGTAATAGCTACTTCATGCTGACTCGTGATTTAATGCTGTCGTGAGAATGACACAGTTTCAACTGGCTAAAAGGACTTCTTCATGTAAATTAAAATGGAATTGTTACACCTCTTAATTATCCGCAGTGTATTTGTTAAGGGGATGAAAGAGTGAAAGTGTCAGGTTCACTAGTGAATGGTTAAGGATTAATGAGAAGGTCATTCTTGCCATCTGTGGTGAAGCAGAAGGTCCACATTTTATTCCCTTGTCCTACCAAGAGGTGCTGTCAGTCAGTATTTACCCATGAGATGTTCGTTATTTCATTAATAAATAATTTCCATCATTTTTAGCATAATACTACAGCAATACCAAATCAAATACAGTAAAGCTATTCTGAGAAAAGATACAGTGCATATGACCTAAAAAAAAGGGTCATACTCCGGCTGTTGCTGAAATTGTACACGTAAGTGATGTTTGTAATTCACATAACAGACCTTTCAAGTAGAACAATTTGTATCCAGTGAAATGCAACCCATTAAAAGGTTGAGAAAGGGTTCTGAAATCCTCATCACAGAAAGCTTGTAATCTTGGCAAAAGTCACAATATAGGGTGTACCTTTTCAGTCACATCCAAAAAGAAGAGGTAGGAAAGACTTTTGCATTCACAGGGGGTGCATTTGAAACTGCAAACAAATAAACTCTTTATCATAACATTTTTGGATTATATAAGATCGTATTAATAACTCTGTCTGGTGTACGTTATGACAGAATGGAACAGACATAAGGTGAAAGCACTATATACCTAGGAATGGTCGTATATGCCTAGCCCCCATGGGGAAAAAAAACACACTCTCGACAGAGTACAGTATATGACTATATACAGCCAAGTACATACGTAATTATAACACATCTGCAGCCTGCGATGTTTGTGATGATCAATCGTAATTCACTTATGTGGCGCGCAAATCATGGACAGCAAGCTCCAATGCGTGCATGTGTATTACGAGTAATGTAATTGTATGACAACACACTACTGTAGTGTATTGTATTTGGGTAGTCACGAAATATTACCCAAGTGCAACTGACACTTAAAAGTGTGAAAATGACCCACTAAGCTGAACGTTTAAGGAGTTTTGTTTCAACCGGTAGACAATTACGTGTTTCTGAAGCCGTCCCAGGTCCATATGTCACAAGACCCGCATCTTCTTAACTTGCAACAGATGGAGAGCTCAGAAACATAAACCCTGCGAAGCCTATTATAATAAAAGGATAACGTACGTGTAGCCTTTTACTTCAGACACACTTGCTTTTTTCATCACTATAACTACCTCTCTTTCGCCATTCATATAAATGATATAGAAACCTACGCTTTTTGATGAGTGACTATCTCATATTTCACTAGTGGGGATCTGCGTAAAAACAAATAGTCGTTACACGTTAATTAATTATCAGCAACAAATGTAGCTAAAAAATAAAAATTTGTTACCATGTAGGCTAAGTGCCAAGACTGTATTATGGCAGATACAGACAATAAAATGGACAAAATTTCAATTGCGCAGCATGTTAGACAAATTTGTGTTGTCATGGTTGTTATGCATTATTACGGGGCGCTGAGCGCATGTCGCTGAAGGTGGCGCTGGAGTTCAACGAAAGTGTCGGAAGGGTTAAGGGAGCCGCTGTCCGTCCTTCGTATTCTTCCGCCCAATGCCGCGTAATAAGACGGCTTATAAGTACCCCATTGGTCACCTGTCAAGGATAGTAAACTGCCTTTGCTAAATATCTTCACCAAACCTTACACCATGGTGTCCTTCTTCCCGTAGCAGTGCACGGCAGATGGCTGGTTTAAATAATTCAGCCGGGCGAGTGGGGTTGAGTTCGGGCCGTTCGTTTTTGAAACAGTAGTCGACAACTTTACGGGCTCTCTGGAGATTGCGAGTAAATATAGGTTCGGTCTGATCGAGGCGGCATTAGCGAGATTAGTGCGGCTCCGTGGTCTCGAGCTGCGCCCGGGCGCGAGACTCTCTTTAAAGATTAAGACCCCGGCGTCTGAAGGACAGGACTGAGAGACTCAGTCCTCGTGTATTTTTCCTAAAACATTTACAATAAAAACATACTGCGATAATAGATACACTTTGAGATTTTTTCAGGGGAGACCGAGGTCTGCTTTACTGAGACTCTACTGCAAGGTAAGTGAGTAGCCTACAAGTCTTTCATATTGACCGAAAGAAATTTCTAGTTAGGAATGAGTTGGGCGGGATGTCATTTTTCTAATTGCAATATACGGCGCTTGAGTTAACGTATACTCGAAGTATCTCACAAGTTACCGAATGGTTATATTGTCAAAAGACCTTATGTCGTTCAGGGGGGCTAAATCATTTTGCCGTATATGAAGAAATTAGTAAAACAATATGTTTTGTTCGCATTTTTGTAATTGAAGTAAACTGTTAAAATAACGCAGGCTTGTATTGGAGAATAAATGCGGTGTCCCGATAATGCACATATATTGCACCTGCTGAGGAAAGAATTTTTCGGACTGTCTATCCAAAGGGTGTACAGCAGCAGCGCAGCTGAGTGTACAGAATCTGTGGCATCTTATTCCCCCCCATTATATTATTATTGCTATTTTTAGGGGGGGGGGATTATCAAATATCATGTTGTAGAACTCTCCAGGTGGACTATCTTTGTCTGTATATGCATATGTATGTGTGCGTTTCTGTCTGTAGTCTGTTGCATGAAAAATAGATTTCAGGTGAAAAGAAGTTTTCTGTGTATTCTGTTCGTTTTTTTTAACATTATCGGCATTGGTGCCAGCAGCTTTTTGAGAAAAACACATTTACTGTGAAAACTGAATAATGTATTACGATGTGCTGGCTACCTGTGAATGTGACACTTGGTATCAACGTCTTTGCACTTCATTAGCTGTGTTGCTCAGGGTACTAAATTATCTGCAGTCTGTGAAAAGAGCGATTTCCGTGTGTACGTGACATTGTGCATCTCACCGTCCTTCATGCTACTAGGTAACACAGCCCACTCCTGAGTCCAATAGGTTCCTCTTCCAACTTTTGTTGCTCCTCTGACTGCTGTCTTCTGCTATCCAGTCAGGTGGCACAGTGGTCCCCTAGTTTCTTCTCGTGTAACCCCAGTCACACCATGAGTTTGCTATATTTCCTCTCCAGCACAACTTATTCAGCCGAATCTGAGCAGGCAGATTAGTTGATTACTTTAATCAGATTGTCTGGTGGTGGAATAGAACTCGCGGGGGGATACGTATGAAGAGTCGTGAGAACCTCAGAGGCAATGTATAAAAATGTATTAAGTTAATCAAATAATATATGCCCAAAAAACTCAAAACACCCCGGCAGATTTAAGTTACATATATAATTTCTAAACAGTGCGGTTTTTAAAGATAAATATACAGTGGCAAGGGAATCACATTCTGTCACTACGTTCAGTGGTGGGTGTGGGGCGTGTTTTTCAAATCTTTATTTCAAAGCTCTGTTGTGTCTTAAAGAGGATATCCAGGGCCAATATCCAATATTTCTAATGTATCTTTAATCCGACAATTATGAATATGTATTCAAATAATTGCATCTTGACGGAATAAAATCCTCTTTATTCCATATCTTAAAATTTATGCCAATAGACAAAGCGGCTAAAGTGCATTGAACTACTTTAACCTGTTAAAAGAGGACTTGGGGACTTGTTTCCACCTACCAGCCAGCAGAAAATGATGATGACAGAAATCATCACTCCAGAAGAGATGACACTTGCTTTGGAGATTCTCTGTATACAGCATGTCTTGGATATAAAAAATTATAAATATACTGTGCAACAATGACAAGAGTATCTATAATTGCTGAAATTAAGAACAGAGAGAGAGAGTTTTTTAGGATCCATAGGCTAATTCTGTAAAGGTTACAAAGGGTTTAAATGTCTTGGAGGAAATCTGAAGGACTATACGTGAAGGAGAGCCAACCAAGAAAATGCCTGAACTTGCTAAGACCAAGGAAGGTGGTCATCAATGAGCCAGAGTTTCCCTTCCTTTGATGTTGTTTCAGAAGTTACTTGCTGGTAAGCTAGAATCAGCAGAATTGAATGTCTTTGACCATCTCAAACTAAACGATTTAGTTCTGGATTTTGAAGTGGCCTGGCTGACAAACACCCGGAGAGAATACCAAATATGAATATGATGAAAAGCAATTCTACTGTTGCTTCCAGTAGAAAATTGATTGATTTTTAATGGGAAGTTCATCAAACTGCTTGATGCTTGCAAGTGATTGGTTTACATGCACTCGGGACAGTGATGAAGAGTAGAATCCAAAAGAATGGGACATAAAGATGTTGGACGACCATGAGCTGCAACACAGAGGGAGGGAACCTTCTAAAATGATCACAAAGTCTCATGAGCGTGCTTTAACAAAGTGCCTGGGTAACAAGCGACTTCGCATGGCCTTGAAAATTCATGGAAGGCAACCTGTGGAGTTTTTCATGAGGTGTTCTGCCAAAGAAAAATGTCATGCCCATATTTCCAGACCCTGAATACAGGGGAGTAGAGTTCTGTGATTGGATGATAAACTGTTACAGGATGTCAAACCAAACAAGAAAATGCGCTGTGCATGCCATGCTCCGTTTTGTTGATCTTTGTGCTGCCAACAGCTGGATTGAGTATTGCAAAAACATTTTGGCCTCTGGGGGTGCTAGAAAGGGCACATTTCAGTACCTAAAATTCAAGCTGCTCTTGGCATAGGAAAGGATTGCCCCAAGCAAAAGGAGAAGGGTCTGGCTACAACCCGAGAGGGTAAGGAAGTATCACACGGTTCATTTATCAAAGATAGTAGACACAACTCATCCAAATGCAGGAGAACTAAGGCCAATGGAAATACCTCTGTGAAGTGTGTTGTTCCTGCAGATTGCTTCCTATAATACCATTTCTTCAGTTGATCATCAATTAAATTTTAAAAAACTGTAATGATGAGTGACTTCTGTAATTGGCTAACAAGCCAGTTGTTGTTTTTGGGGATGCTGTTTTAAAACAATGTTACTAGCATGCTGTTGCTTCATTGTAGTCAAAGCAAATGGTTCTGGAGCAGAATTGGATACATCAGTATTCCATTCTTCCTAATGCCAACCCACTGTGCATGCTGATTTTTGTTCCAAATGAACTTTTATTAATTAGCCTTGATTCAGCTGATTATTGAATAAAGAAATCACGTGATTGAAATAACGATAAACTGGTTTTATTTGTTCAGCTATGAAGTTTCAGTTAATGAAGGAAATTTGTAAACATCAATTAAACAGGTGTTTTATACTCATAATAAGTTTCCTTTACATCTGATTTAGAAGACAGCTGAATCAGTTCTATCTCAGTTTGATCAAGACTTTACTCAATCATTATTCATCATATTGCTCAGACTATGTAAGAACTTTGTAGTAACAATAATGAACATATATAAATATATGTAATGATTTTATAAACTTCATTTAGTGGTAATTATGCGCAACATGGCCAGGATGAATCTACCTGCGTTCTCTGTGACACGGTTATGAACATTGTTTCTAGGATGAACAAAGATCACTAGTTGACAATGAAGTTGAAATAAAGACACTTTAAAACAATGTTAAGGAAATAGCAATGTAATTTCAGCACGTTTGTTGCATTTACTTTATTATTAGGAAGCAAGAGTAGGTACTAAAAAGGCTGCACAACTAGATGAGTTACCACCATAACAGTAAAGATTTTTCATTATTCTACTAGCTCACTATAAAGAACAGCACATTCTGCAGCACATATTGCTTATCTGTCTGTTTTAGCTATTCAGCTGTCTAAAACTGAAGCCCCTTTTAGGCCACAATTACCGGCTTGCTTTGTATTCAGCTAATGATTAATAAAACGGATGTCACCATAAAAAAATATCTACTTTTTGTGACACAAAATGAATATTCTGTTTTCTACAACAATGTTGCATCTTAGAAGGGATATAGATTCTGCAGGCAGCACGAAAACTCACCATATGTAACTTATAAAAACCTATACAGTATTTAATCTAATTGTATAGTTTGTACTGTAATATATTTGCATATTTGTGTGCTTGCAATAGAATTGTCAGACAACAGAAAAAATTAAGCGAGTCTAATATAGCTACTTTTATTTGTACTGCCATGTTTTTTTTGTTTTTATTGATGTTCTAATTGGCTTTATCTCAGTGTTGTATCTCGGGGGGTTTAAGCAATAAAAAGGGGAAGCCCTATCACTGAAATCTTGCTAGTATAGCAATGTGCATGAACTGAAGGTGAGTGACGAGGATGAGCAGAGAAGACTTTAATGAGGGGCACGGAGAGGTTCCCTAGCTTGCTCTCGCAGTGGAAGATGGGAGAATATGTGCATAAATCGGATTTTCAATAAGAAGAAAAAAAAAAAGAAAATGGCAGACCCTCATCAAAGAAGGTGGTGGAAGTGGTGAGCATGAAAAGGAGCACACACATTACATGTGAATGTGTCGCAACACGACAGTATAAAGCCTTTGTACATAGAAAGTTACAGCAATGCCTAAATTGTTTTATTCACACCGTTTCTCCATTCTGTTAATTATCTTAGGCTATACCTGTATTTTTTTTTTTTGGACAGTTTAGTATTGAAACGGCTTTATATGTAACTTGACAAGTCAAATAAGGAGAGTCACAACACATAACAAGTCATGAATAAAGCAAGATACATTTTTATCACCATTACCCTATACTGCCTAAGATGGATGGATATACGCCATCATCATGTATTCCTCTGAAAAGTCATTTGCTTATCCATAGGCAGTACAAAGAGCTCAGAGATGTATTAAAAATTGCAGGGCATGGTATTGGACATTTGTTGGAAAGTGTAATTCTATGGAAAAATGTTTACAGCTAGTTATCTAAGTAGTAAATGTGTATATTGCTCAGAAAAAAAACAAATTTTTTTGTAATGCAAAATAAGTTCTGTTCACTGTTTACAGATTTTGATCATAAGAGGTGACTTTCTAATATGAATCAAAGAGATTGGTTTGATAGAAGGATAGACAATGTAAAATACAGTACATTGGTAGATGACAGCAGGATCTGAAGTCCTGTCAAGCCAGAAGAATAGCAGGATAATGTCCCCTGTGGTGGCTTGATCAGCTGTTTTAATATCAGCCACATCAGTTCTCTCAGGTAT